AGTTATTCACTCAAACATATGGGGGTGGCAGGTAGAAACATTTTAAGTTCTGCAAGCCTTTAGCTCTGCAGGCAGGCAAGGTAGTTTGTCTGCTGGCTGATAAGTCTCCTGGCCAGAGCCTCTGGCACCCTAACCCTTTCCTTCCCCAAACCTCTGCCCTCTACTTCTGACCTGCTATTCCACATATCCAAACCTTTTGCCTTCCTCTTGCACCCATACCTCTCCGTCAGATCTGGCATCCCGAGCTCATGCCTGAGATCACAGTCCTCTCCTATCCTAGGTCACATCCCAAAACCTTGCACCCCAGTCCACTGCCCCCGCCCTGAAGCAGTTGTATCTGCAGGCTGGATCCACCTGATGGGTGCGCTGGATCCAGCCTGCGGAGGCCCCTTTGCCCACCCCGTGCTAATAGAATCTTATCTCTAGTGCTTTCTCAGCAGGACCCGCAGCCCAAAATAGGTAGTGGGTTTTTTTCCTTCTTACCACCGCACTCCATGTGTCATTAGACTCTTCTCAAATGCATTCTGAGTAATTGACTGGCAATGATTTTTCCCCTGAAAGAGTTAATCCAACAAGAGTATTAATACTGCTTTAAGTGAAGCTTTTGCCTTGTTCAGGAGACTATTTTGATTTTCAGTTAAGTGGAGGATTAGAAGACAAATTAAAGATGATCATCCTGCGACTTGGTATAAAAGAAATCATGGATGAAATTTTCAGATCAGTGCAAGGAATTTAGCCATACCTTCCATTTGGAAATCTCAACACACATTTCCTGTTTTGATTCCTTTTTGTCTTTACCTGTTTGCATTTTATAACTTTTTTGTAGATTATCAGGCTGATGAACACATTAAAAATACCATAAAAGTTTTTGGATTTTTCACTTTCTGAACAGACTCTTTAAATATGCAGTACTTTGAATTTTAAAGACATTTGGGCAGTGTTCCTACTCTGATACTCATTTTATGTTTGGCATGTATGTCAAAAAGATTTAAGTTTAGTACAAGGGAAGTGGATTTTGCCCACAAAAAGTGTGTGTGTGTGTGTGTGTGTGTGTGTGTGTGTGTGTGTGTGTGTGTGTTTAAAAAAAACCCCCCACCAAAAGAAAAGTCTAAGTTGCTGCAGGGCTACTCCATTTTTTTAATGGTTACAAACTAACACGGCCAACCCTCTGAGGCTAATGTGGCTTGTGTATATTTGTCTTATTTCAGTGCTGCTGGAGGTGAAATCTTTAACTTGTGTGTTCCTGAGCCAAATGAGCGAATTGAAGAAAATGATATTATCAGACTTATTCGACAAATACTTGAAGGACTTTGCTGTCTGCATGAAAACAATATTGTTCATCTTGATTTAAAGGTAAAATTGCATATGGTTTTCCAATAACTTACCTTCTTTACATTCTGATGGTTGTTTGATTATTGTAGCACTAAAGATGTGATGGAAGTATATTGGTATAACTGTTGCAATTTTAAGATGATTATGAGAATGCGATTAATTACTTACAACTTAGCGTAGGTACAACAGAGAGACACCGTATAAATGCACATAATAACAGCACTCTATGCAAAGTCAAGATTCTTACAGTAAAATTAATTTGGCTGTATAGAATGTATGTAGTATCTTTCTTGTTAAATGTTCTATTTAATACATTAATAAAAATAAAAAATAGGCTGTACATCTTGACCAAATGATGTAGGAACTAGCTCTTGCATTTCCAAACTTTCCCAATTTTATTGATGTGAAAACTGAATAGAGCTATTCCATACATATCTCTTTTTATGTTGAATTTATTGTACTTAGCCTTAGTATTTAAATATCCCAGTCAAACCTCTGAAATTCCTGTGAGTTGAAAGGACTCTGTAAAGGGAGACTTAATACTGCTACTTTGAGGAGTGTCCCTGTGGACGCTCCACTTTAGGTGTTTGGGCACTGTTGCACGCCTAGTCAGAGATTTTTGTAACCGTGCCCTCCAGTAGACTGCACTCACAGAGTAGATGATATGCGTGGTGCCGCTATTACGTATGCACAGCCAACCATCTCCTCAGTTCCTTCTCTGGTGCTGCCGGCATCTGTCGGAATGGCAGTTGCTTTCTAGCTTTTTGCCAAAATTTCAAACTTGTTCCTGTTAATACAATTAGCACAGTGTTAGTAATAGTTTTCATAGTTAGTAGTTTTTCTAGTTACTGTTAATTGTTGCTTAAAAAACCCACAAAATAAAAAAGAACTTTTATTGTTAAGGCTGTTAGCCTTAGCAAAATAATTTGCTTCTTGGGATGACAGATCTCTCAGGATTCAAACGCTGCCTGTCCTGCAGACTTTCAATTCCTATTTCTGGGCACTCAGTGTGTCTGGTGCCTGGGGCAGGCACACACCACTGCCCAGTGCCAACACTGGAAGCAGCTAATGGCCTGCACGCACAAAGCAAGGGAGCTCCAGCTTAAACTCCTTTTCCTTGAAAACAGGTGAAGCCAGCTTTGGATCTGGAGTACTCTATCCCACCTTGGCAGTCCTCCCCACTTGCCATGTGCGAGGCAGTAGCTCCAGCGACTGTTCCTCAGAACAACCCAAGAAAAGATCTCACTCCTCAAGTAAAGGTGACTCCACTGCAGAAATGCGGGGGCAAACACCTGTGAAATACCCCCTGCACTGGACAGGGAGGTACCATGACCGTTAGGCATTGATGGCTCCTGGAGGTGCAATGATCTTAGCAAGACAGGCTTCCAGAGAAGCCTAAATCTAAATTGGCGCCACTGGCACCATCTGAATCCGTCTCTGTGCTGACGAAGGCAAAGGCCAAATCAGCCTCTTCTGAGGCACCATCAGCACTCAAGAAAGCCAAGCCTTGCTCGGCATCGTCAGCACCTATGCCACCTCCGGCACTGAAGTGTCTCAAACATGTGGCCTCCCATACGGCAATGATGGCACTGCAGATTGCGGCTGTAACACCCTCCATGCTGCTGCCAGCACTGGCGACCCTGGCACTGTAGCCTTTTTCTACTTCAGAGGAGCTAAGGGTAACTTTGGTGCCTATAACCAAATTGTTCAGCACCGACAGTACACCCATGTTGGGCACGTTCACGCTGTCTACTCCTGTAGAGTTGGCAGCGCCGCTCTTGAGCAATGAGGACGATGAGCTCGTGGTTGGTACTCACACCCCAAAAAGCTCCTCTCCAAAGCATCTGCAGCAGCAACAGCCACTGCTGCAATGGCAACCACCTCAATTGCTGCCTCCTGTGACACTATCTGCCAACTTGGCCCTACTGGGACCCCTGGGCACCAAACCGAGTCCAGCAGCCACAACAGGTTCAGCCTCAGCCATCTCCGTCCGCACCATCAAGGCACACCTCCTCGCCTTGCATAAACAGGTCAGCTTGCTGGGAAGAGGATGAGCCAGCCTCGAGCGACAAAGATTCTCCTGTGTCTTAACTTTCAGTGCACATCTCATTGTCCTCCCCGATGCTGCTTTGATGCCCCCTCCTCCTGCAGTGGGAGATGACTTTTGATCATTCCAGGAGCTATACAAGAGGGTGGCTGACGTCTCCCTAATAGGAAAGTTAAATATTGCTTTATTGAATAGTCGATTAACCTCATGAATTCTTAACGGTTCCTTGTCTATTCTATAGGCCTCGGGGGTAGGGCCGGTAGCCAGTGCGCTCCAGTGAAACTCCTGAGGAGCCTCCTGCCTCTCGCTGCCTCTGTATCAGAGACCGTAGCGTGGAATGCCAGGTGGGAGCTGGTCCATGAGGGGAGCCAATTTAAAAACCTGCTCCCTTTGAAGACAGGCTGCCTGTTGCCCTGTGCTGCTGCCTCTGATACAGAGGCAGCAGCGCAGGGTGGCTGCAGCCCATGTCTGGGGTGTGTGTGTCTAAGCTCCTGGACCCAGCATGAGCCAGGCTGCCTGCCCACCTGGCTCCTAATACACTTTAAATGCAAAGCTGCTGGAGGGGTATGTCCTGAACATGGTGCAAGCTAGGACTGACCCGGGCTGCTGGCCAGCCTGCTAAAAAGTTACTGGCGGGGTGGGGGGAGAACAGTGTGTGTAGTCTATAGCATTAACCTATACACTTTTGCTTATCAATAATCAACTATCCCTACTCCCTAGTGAGTCTCCCCAAAACTCAACATAAAGTAACCAGTATCTTACATGTCTCCCTGTTTGCCAAGTTGGCCCTACCAATGGATCCAGTGCTTATGGATCCTGCCAAGGTAATCTGGCAGACACCAACAACAGTCCCACTGGTCTGCAAAAGATCAGACCATAAATATTACGTTGCACCACAAAGTGCTGATTTCCTGTCTTCCCACTTGCTCCTAATTCTTTAGTTGTAGACGCAGTTAACCAGAGGAGAAAACAGTGCAGTCAGAACAACACCCCACGACAAGGAATGGAAGTGTCTAGATCTCATGGTCAGGAAAGGGTACGCCTCTGCACTTTTACAGCTCTGCATATTTAATTACACCGCAATGCTCATGAAATACACACATATCTTTGAGCAACTATTGCAGTTGGGCACTGACACAGAACACTCTCCTCCACCGATATGTAACCCCCTCCTACACTCTTCCCCTAGGCCAGAATCCTCTCCTGCACAGAAACACACTCTGAGACCCTGCATCATGTCACCACCCAAACCGTCTGCAGTCTTTTTTTCCCCGTCTGACTGATCACGATTCTCTTCCAGACTTTGCATCCCCTCCTAGAGCCCCTCCCCCAGGCCAGAATCCTCTCCTGCACCCATAATCCCTCCCTGGCCATACATCCCAATCTCCTGACCCAGGTCGCAACCCCCTCCTTCACCCAGACTCCCTCTTAGACCTCATACCATCCTAAGCACCCCAGTCCCTTACCCCGTGCACCCTTCCACGCCCAGCCTCCATCATAGACTCCGCAACTCTTCCACAGAAAAGTGCAGTCCTTGACTACTTACCAAAAATCTTGGACTGGTCCCCCGCCAAAAATTATTGCTCACCCCTCATCTTTGGTCTTCCATCATAATCGACAAGTAGCTACTTGATATTATAAAGGGTAAATACTGTATCCCCTTCTCTTCTCCCACCCACCTTCCCTGTCCCACTTCAGGGACCCATCCACCAGAGCATTCTATCCCAAGAGATTGACCATTTGCTCCACCTGGGCGCTTTAGAACCCTTATCTCATTGCTACCAGGGCAAAGGGTTTTATTCCCATTACTTCCTCACAACAAAAAAGGCAGGGGGATGGAGACAGATGGCCTCAACCACAATATATGACCCCAACAATTAAAGATGGTCACCCTATCCACTAGAATCCCTGCCTTAGACTGGTTATTGACTTTTGACCTCCAGGACACCTATTTTCATGTATCCATTCATCCAGCACATGGGAAATACCTAAGATTCGTGGTGAGCGATTCCCACTTCTAGTACACGGTGTTGCCATTCGGACTCTCTACAGCTCCAGGCGGTCATCTTAAAGGTGCTCATGGTGGTCGCTGCGCATCTCTGCAAACAAGAGTTGTCCGTATTCCCTTACCTTGATGGCTGTCTGATTAAAAACAAGCACAAAGTAAGGAAGCTTGCAATGCAGTCTCTGTACCCAGGACTCTGTTCCAGACCCTTGAGGTATAGATAAATCTGTCCAAGTGCAAACTCCAGAAAGCTCAGAGAATGGAGTTTATCAGGGCTCGCCTCGATTGTGTGCAGGCTATAGCTTCCCTCCCACAAGAGATTCTATTCTATAAAGGACATTATTACACTGGTACAAACCAGCCCACAAGTTCCAACAAGGGTCTGCTTCAGTTACTAGGACACATGGTGGTGGCCACATTTGTGATGCTCTGTGCCAGACTAGGTGTGAGACCCATACAGCAGTGGTTGACTGTATACAGACCACGTTACAACTGTATCCACAAACTAGTCTCCATCCCAAACAGAATCAAGTGGTTGCTGGACTGGTTGGCAGACCCAAAAAAGTATGTGTTTGGAGGTACCTTTCCACAAACATCCACCAACTGTGTCCATCACAACAGATGCTTCTCTCCTTGTCTGGGGGGTACACTCAAACCTTCTCAAAACTCGGGGACATTGGTCTCCTCAGGTGTGCACATAAATATACTAGGACTCAGAGTGGTATTCTACACATCCCAATATTTCCTTCATCTTGTACGCAGCAGCACGGTACAGATTTTTATGGACAATCAAGCAACCATCAGTAGGCAGGATGGAGCCATGACCCACCACCTTTGCAGGGAAGCTGTCCACCTGTGGACATGGTGCATTGCACACAACATTTGCATACAAGCCTCTTACCTTCCGGGCAAGGACAATCTAATGCTTGTTTGCAGCCAGTGCTGACAAGAAGTGTCCATGTTGTTGTTCCCATGTAGGCATTGGCCTGCACTCCCTGGAGGATGCATTCATAATACCCTGGAATCTCTCCAATCCCTCTCCTCCATCGAGTAGTCAACAAAACAAGGTGAGATGCAGCCTCAGTAATTCTTATTGCTCCAGCCTGGCCAAGATAGACCCGGGAAAGTTACCTGCTGCAGATGTCCAGGAGGAGGCCAGGGCATCTCCTGCTGCTTCCTCATCTTCTGACACAAGAGGACAGTCAGGTTCATCACCCGTGCATGCCTCTGAATTCTCCACCTCCAGGCATAGTTTTTCAGTAGTTCAACTCAATAGAAACATCATTCTCTGGTCAAGTCAAGCAAATTCTGAAGAGTTGCAGACTAACTACCAGGAAATCTTACCTGCATAAATGGCGCTGAGTTTCACTTGAATGGGTCTGAATCAAAACATGAGAACCCATTGACAATGCCACTTTTGGACGTTTTGCAATACCTTCTAGAACTGAAACACTTGGGTCTTTTGTTTTAGTTGTTCAAAGTTCACCTTGCAGCTATAGCTGCTTTTCACCACCCCATTGATTTAAAAAAAAAAAATCTGTCTTTGCACATCCAACAACCAAGTGCTTCCTTAAGGGCATGCAGAATACTCTCCTGCCTGTCAAACCTCCTGTCCCATCCTGGGACCTCAGTTTAGTACTCTGACCCCTCACTCATAGGCCATTCGAATCCATGGCAACATGCTCCATCCTTCACCTTTCCATGAAGGTGGCCTTATTGGTGGCTGTCTCATCAGTCAGGAATGGGAGAGAAATTGGTGCACTTATGGCAGACCTCCTCCCCACACACAAGCTTCACGGTATTCCATAAGGATAACCTTCATCCAAAGTCTGTACTGAATGAAACCACCTCATTTCACTGCAGTGAAATATCTTCTTCCCAAAGACTCATGTTGATATGAAAGAGGCTGCATGGCACACGGTCAATGTACGCAGAGCGATTGCTTTTTACCTGAACAGGACAGGAAAAATCTGCAAAATGCCTAGACTCTCATATCCACTACCGAGGGATCCTGGGCTTGCCAATTTCCACCCAGAGGCTGTCCAGATGGATAGTGGACTGCGTCCAGTTGGCCTATTCTGTCTTCAGCCAAGACCCTCCATGGCTAATACGTGCCCACTCTACTTGGACCACGACGGCTTCTATAGCATACTTCAACATCATACTTCTTATGGACATCTGCAGATATGCTACGTGGTTTTCCACCCATACACTTGCCAGACATTGTGCCTTTGACACTTACCTCTCCCAAGATACATGCCATTTTCACCACTGTCCAGGATACTGACTAGCCGAAGCATCCGCCTCCAATCATGGGTACTGCTTTATAGTTGCCTAAGATGGAGCACCCACAGGAACACCCTTCAGAGAAGGAGAGGGTTACTCACCTTGTGCAGTAACAGAGGTTCTTCGAGATTGGTTGTCTTTGTGGATGCTCCACCACCTGCCCTTCCTCCCTCTGCTTTGGACATAGTTATCTTCTGGGGCAGAGAAGGAACGGAGGGGACAGTTGGTCGCACATGTTTATTAGCGGGTACCGCCTATACCATCTACTTTGTGTGCACAGCCTAACGGAAGGCACTGCTACCAAAATCTCTGACTAGGCACGCAGTGACACCCAAATACTTAAGATGGAGTACGCACAGGGAAAACCATCTTAAAGAACCTGTTACTACAGAATGTGAGTAACTCCCTTTTTACTACTACTGTTTGAGACCGTCTTTGAGAAGGCTCTGTTTAGGGGACAGCATCACATGTTCTCACACTAATGGGTATATCTTGGCAATGAAAAGAAACTTTTACAGTAAGTATTTGCTGACAGAACCTGAAAAATGCAGCTGTCATTGCAGTGGGGTTCTGAGCATGCCACTTCAGTGTTTTCCTGAAAATGGTTATTCTCCTGTTCATCATGGGATGGTGACTTTAGAGTGGATAGTACTATCGAGTGAAATATTTGTCTTCCATATTTTGTGTTATTAGTACCAATATAAAGAACTGCACATGTCAGGGTCTAGCTTTGGTCAAAGAATATTATAGATGGGTATCGCAAATACTTTTTGTGGATTCTGTTTTAACAAGGCAATAGCAGCAATTAGAATGCTTAAATATAATCTAAACTTCATTTTGGTATATACTGTTTATCTAAATCATACTTACATAGTTATGCCGTAAGGACTAAATAGTCATCTTTTTTCATTTAGCCCCAGAACATCTTGCTGAGCAGTTTCAGTCCTCTTGGTGATGTAAAAATAGTAGATTTTGGTATGTCTCGGAAGATTGAGAATGCCATTGAACTGCGGCAAATCATAGGAACAACAGAATATCTAGGTATGGAGAGCGCCTTTTTAAAATTCCTGCATGCAAATTAAAACAATTTGCTGAATTTGAAAGCTGGGACATGTACAATGTTTTATAAGTTCAACTTCCTGAGTCCCTCGTACCTAGTGTCTTGTGTCTAATGGTATTGTATTTTGAGTACTGTATAATGGCATTGTATATTGTATTTTGAGTGGTGTGTGGTGGGTTTTTTTATTTTTTATTTTTTATTTTTTTTTTAGTAATTCATAGATTAGATGAGACTTAGTGGTTTTCTTGTCAATTTTAACTTTTAAAAACAGATGTGTATATAAAGTCCTGCTGTTTGCTTTTTAAAGTACAGTAAACTTCCGATAATCCGGCACCTTTAGGACCCAGGAGGTGCCGGATTATCAGATTTGCCAGACTATCGGAAAGGGGGCCATAAGGAGTCTGGGGTGGGGAGGGATGCCCCCCTTTTGATAGTCTGGCTCTGCCCCAGGTGTCCCCAAGTCAGCCGCTGGTCAGTTTCAGCAGCGGCTGAATCGGGGATGCCTGCAGCAAAGCAGCTGGAGTGCTGCCGGGTTGGTCCCGTAGCACCCCAGCTGCTCTGCCTCCGGCTTCCCCGATTCAACGCTGGTCAGTTTTAGCAGCGGCTGAATCGGGGATGCCTGCAGCAAAGCAGCTGGAGTGCTGCCGGGTTGGTCCCGTAGCACCCCAGCTGCTCTGCCTCCGGCTTCCCCGATTCAACGCTGGTCAGTTTTAGCAGCGGCTGAATCGGGGATGCCTGCAGCAAAGCAGCTGGAGTGCTGCCGGGTTGGTCCCGTAGCACCCCAGCTGCTCTGCCTCCGGCTTCCCCGATTCAACGCTGGTCAGTTTTAGCAGCGGCTGAATCGGGGATGCCTGCAGCAAAGCAGCTGGAGTGCTGCCGGGTTGGTCCCGTAGCACCCCAGCTGCTCTGCCTCCGGCTTCCCCGATTCAACGCTGGTCAGTTTTAGCAGCGGCTGAATCGGGGATGCCTGCAGCAAAGCAGCTGGAGTGCTGCCGGGTTGGTCCCGTAGCACCCCAGCTGCTCTGCCTCCGGCTTCCCCGATTCAACGCTGGTCAGTTTTAGCAGCGGCTGAATCGGGGATGCCTGCAGCAAAGCAGCTGGAGTGCTGCCGGGTTGGTCCCGTAGCACCCCAGCTGCTCTGCCTCCGGCTTCCCCGATTCAACGCTGGTCAGTTTTAGCAGCGGCTGAATCGGGGAAGCTGGGGGCAGAGCAGCTCCAATGGTCCAGCTGCCCAGAGCACTTCCAGGTTCCTGATGGTGCCGGACCATCAGGAGTGCTGGACCAACAGATGCCGAACCATCCGAGTTTTACTGTAGTTTAATTTTGAAAATTATGTAGTTAGAACCTTGCTAATTCTAATGACTAGGTGGTCCACTACATATTATTGACAATTTTGTAAATTAGCATGTAGATAAGTAAACAATAAAAAAGTTTGTATAACAGACAGATACAGTCAATTGTGGTTTAGCTCTAATTTGATTCTACAGTATACTACTAGTGTATTATATCTTTTAAAAATCTTAATATGAGATTCTGGAAACATCTGCTATCATATTCTTGTGGTAAAGAATGGTGGAGAACTTTAGGAGTGCAGCGGAGGAGACTTCTTTCAGATTCTGTCTTTTTAAAATTGGTTCTGTGGAGCTGTAGTGAACACCCATTCCACACTATGGCTCCATTGACTTTAAAAATCACTTTAGCTAAACCAGTTTTAAAATTGTTTAGTATGTCTGTGGAAATGTCTAAGTATAGGCCAATCCTTTATGTTCAGCTTAAGGCAGAGGTGAACAATAATTTTTGAGGAGCAGCCACTCCAAGATTTTTGTAAGTGGTCAAGGGCCACACTTTTCTATGGAGGGTGTGTGTGCAGGGTCTGTGACTGAGCTTATGGTAAGGTACTGGAATTCAGGAGAGCTATGGGGTCTGAAAGGGAGTTGTGATCTGGGGCAGGAGATTAGGGTGCAGAGTCTAGGAGTAGGTATGGATGCAGAATAGAATTTTGGCCTGGGGGAGGGGTGTAGAAGGGAGTGCATGATCTGGGAGTGAGTTGTGACTTGGAGGAGATAGAGTGCAGAAGGTTTTGGTGGTGACATGGGATAGGGAATTGGGTTGCTTAAGGGGATGGGATGCCAAAGGTAGGCTCTGACCAGGAGGCACTTACCTAGACAGCTCCCAGCCAGCAGCCGTGCACGACCCCAAGACAGGCTTCCTGCCTGCCATAGCCTTAGGCTGCTCAAAACAGCTGGCTGCTCCCTATGGCTCTTTGCTCTGGGAGGCAGGGCAGGTGGAGGATTTGTGCACTGCTCTGGCCCCCAGAACAATTTCTCAGCTCCTATAGGCTCTCTGTTCTGTCCCCAGCACAGTTTCCAGCCAGTAGGAGCTGAGAAATTGTGCTCAGGGCAGGGACAGTATGCGAAGCCTCCCCCTCCCTCCTGGTGCCCAGAGTAGAGCCAGTTGCTCCAAGTGGCATCAGGCTGCTCTGTGCCTGAGGATTCCGGTGGGTAGCCCACAGGCCGGATCTGGCCCACCCCTGACCTAAGATTTTATTTATGTAAAGTAAAAATCACTCTGTGAATTAGTTTAATTGTTTAGAATTCTTGGTGTCAACAAACATTTTTCAGTCACTTTACAAGTATTCTACGAATTGGCTGGAGTAGAGTAGATTTTCAGCAGTTCTAAGAACCAATCCAGTGCTCTTGTAGCTGTGGATAAGTCAATCTGTGTCAACTAGTTCTTCTTGCTGCTGTCCGACGCTCTGAAGTGACCTTTTTGATAGAGTACTTGGGTTGGGAGCTGTATCAATAACTGTGGGATAGACACCCAGAAGCCATTGCAGCTGAACTGATTTAGAACTGCACTGAAGTGGACAGAACAGGTTGCAAATTGATTCAACAAGTAGCATCATAGTGTGAGTTCACTGAAATGTTTGTATTTAAAATAGCTTCACCTCCTTAGTTTAACAAAGAATTGATCTGTTGAAATGTAAATGGGTCAGGTGGCTGTAAAAGAAGATTCCAGTCCAGTCTTACAACTCTAAGTTTGTTGTGTGTAAGCAACTTCCAGTCTATAATTGATTTTAATGCTCTTCAGAGATATTCAATTTATAGCCTTCATCTTCATTCTTGTAATTAAATATAATGATACTTCACTGTACAAATGACACGTTTAGTCCTATACTCTTGTATTTTAGCATAAAATTGCCAAAAAGTCCAAAGTATTACTTTGCTTGCTCATGTTGATTCCAAGTAGGTGTGTGTGCGCTGCATGCACAGTTACCAGAAAGGTACAGCTTGGAGAAAAACTAACAGTTTGGCTTAGGTTACCCCCAGTGTTGATGCTTCTCCAGTTTCTTCTTACTGGCAGTGATGGGCATTGGAGCATGCTGGCTTGTTTTCTCTCTCTCTCTCTCTCTCTCTTTCTCTCTCTCTCTCTCTCTCTCTCTCTCTCTCTCTCTCTCAGTGATCCCACTTAGTTTCCTTATTCTTTCCTGTAAATAGTTAAGATAAAGTGGTTTGACCCCTTATTACTGGGGGGTCTCTCTCCTTCATTCCCTTCCCCAGGGCCGGGGCATGCCTTAGTCCAAGGAGTTTCAACAGTATGGGGTCTGCCAGAAGCCAGTGCCAAGTGATGACCTATGCACATTTTGCCTAAGGTGCCTAGGGGAGTCCCATCAAATGGACAGGTGTAAAATCTCCAGGGGATTCCATCTCTGCACCAAGAAAGGAAGGAACTGAAGTTGCTGCTGATGAAAGCAGCCCTCTGGTGGCAGAGTGAAGCCCCATGGATCTGGCACTGAGCTTCTTGACATTGGTGTGCAGTGCCCCAGCTTCAATCAGGATGCTGTGCTGAGGAAGGACTCAGACAATGGCACTGGCTGGCACCACAGCCAGCAGAATCATGTGTGACAGCAGAAGAGCAGGACCACTTTGAGTTGGCCAGACAGGAACGACCCAGTCAGGCCTGGGCCACCTCCTTATAGTCACCTGATGAGGCAATGACAGGAGCCTCTTTGGGACGTCCCACACCAGACAGCAGAGCCCACCTTGAACTCCTGAGGTGAGTGGCACAGACTCTGGGTATTCAGATGGAGGTCACTAATGGTAGCTATCTTATCCCTTGTGGGCCCCACTAGCATGACACTGCCCTGATTACAACTATATAGGAGTGTGATGAGACTCTGTAGAAAACTCTAGCCTCCCTGTCCCTCACAGTGAAAGGGATCCCAAGTGCTACATTTACCTTTTCACACACCCCTTTGGAGTTGGTGGTGGGCTGCAGTCAACAAGCAGGAGAGGCACGGGCACACCCTTTGGGTTAAGGAAATTAAGTCGGATATCTTCAGGAGGAAGATATACTCCACTGGAGGGCTCCAGCTTTGCATTGCAAATCAGCAGGCGATCCCTAGCCAATACAGTTTTAAATTCAGGGGCAGAATGTCCAGATTTGTGAATTTTGGCCCATTGGACTCCAAGTCTGAATTCTCAGCCCTGATGGATGAGGGCAAGGATGTGGCCAGGACATTATTGCAGGTCTTGCTGGACTCAGTGGATGTAGCAGTTTGTACCATGTCTCTGGGGATTGTAGTGTGGTGTTGCTTCTGGGAGAGCTTTAACAAACTATACAAAGCTTTCCTTTCAAGTGATTGCTTGTTTTCTCTCTCTCTCTCTCTCTCTCTCTCTCTCTCTCTCTCTCTCTCTCTCTCTCTCTCTCTCTCAGTGATCCCACTTAGTTTCCTTATTCTTTCCTGTAAATAGTTAAGATAAAGTGGTTTGACCCCTTATTACTGGGGGGTCTCTCTCCTTCATTCCCTTCCCCAGGGCCGGGGCATGCCTTAGTCCAAGGAGTTTCAACAGTATGGGGTCTGCCAGAAGCCAGTGCCAAGTGATGACCTATGCACATTTTGCCTAAGGTGCCTAGGGGAGTCCCATCAAATGGACAGGTGTAAAATCTCCAGGGGATTCCATCTCTGCACCAAGAAAGGAAGGAACTGAAGTTGCTGCTGATGAAAGCAGCCCTCTGGTGGCAGAGTGAAGCCCCATGGATCTGGCACTGAGCTTCTTGACATTGGTGTGCAGTGCCCCAGCTTCAATCAGGATGCTGTGCTGAGGAAGGACTCAGACAATGGCACTGGCTGGCACCACAGCCAGCAGAATCATGTGTGACAGCAGAAGAGCAGGACCACTTTGAGTTGGCCAGACAGGAACGACCCAGTCAGGCCTGGGCCACCTCCTTATAGTCACCTGATGAGGCAATGACAGGAGCCTCTTTGGGACGTCCCACACCAGACAGCAGAGCCCACCTTGAACTCCTGAGGTGAGTGGCACAGACTCTGGGTATTCAGATGGAGGTCACTAATGGTAGCTATCTTATCCCTTGTGGGCCCCACTAGCATGACACTGCCCTGATTACAACTATATAGGAGTGTGATGAGACTCTGTAGAAAACTCTAGCCTCCCTGTCCCTCACAGTGAAAGGGATCCCAAGTGCTACATTTACCTTTTCACACACCCCTTTGGAGTTGGTGGTGGGCTGCAGTCAACAAGCAGGAGAGGCACGGGCACACCCTTTGGGTTAAGGAAATTAAGTCGGATATCTTCAGGAGGAAGATATACTCCACTGGAGGGCTCCAGCTTTGCATTGCAAATCAGCAGGCGATCCCTAGCCAATACAGTTTTAAATTCAGGGGCAGAATGTCCAGATTTGTGAATTTTGGCCCATTGGACTCCAAGTCTGAATTCTCAGCCCTGATGGATGAGGGCAAGGATGTGGCCAGGACATTATTGCAGGTCTTGCTGGACTCAGTGGATGTAGCAGTTTGTACCATGTCTCTGGGGATTGTAGTGTGGTGTTGCTTCTGGGAGAGCTTTAACAAACTATACAAAGCTTTCCTTTCAAGTGATCCACTCTAGTCTCAGAGAACTCACTCAAAATTGCATAGCTTAAAGGACTCCTGGGCCAATCTGAGATCTCTGGGGCTACACACACCAACTATCTATCATTAACATTTTAGGCCCTAGCCTATGCCCTGGCAGTATAAAAATGAGCTTTCAGCTGGACCATGATTGCAGATGGGGCAGTA